TGTGTGTGTGTGTGTGTGTGTGTGTGTGTGTGTGTGTGTGTGTGTGTTCGTTTACGTACGTTGTAATTGGAATTCCGTCTGTGCATTGATTTGAGTGGGGTCGATTGACTCTGTCGTTGGAGGTGATTTATTTACGTAGGATGAATACAATTTCCGTTTCGTGCCCGCTGAGTTGATATTCTATACACAGGGTGATCCCTATATATTTTCACTACTATAAAATACTATTAATTTCTATGTTGATTCTGACGTATTTTGAAAAAAAAACAATTAAGTCAATGTTATACAAAACTTGTGTAAGAATCATGTTTTCAATTTTTGGTGGAACAATATACTGCGGAGTGGGTATCCTTTTCCGATAACATACAAAGATTGTTAATAATAAGCTAATATCTATTAATATCCATTAAAATTTTCAAATAAATATTCTCAATCAGAAAGTGGTGGTAACATAAAGGCTACCGATTAAAAAAGTAAAAATTCAGTAAAAATGTCATGTATGGGTAACACGTATACATACGTCAATACTGCGTTAAACGAATGACCCGGTATAAGTGTATTTATTTTGTACATAGATACCCATGGTCATAGACATGACGTGATTACCGAGACGAAGGGTGGTCCTTTAGTCGTTTAATTCCGAAATTCCTCTCAGAGCTTACATATATATATATATATATATACAACAGTCCATGACGACATTACACGCATTTGTTTGCTTAAAACCGGGATCTATTCCTCGGGTTCTGAAGTGATTATTGTTTTCTTCATTTGGAGTTCTATCAGTACGTACCGCAGTTTCCTAAAACTACATAACTAAACGCAAATTGCAATTGAATATAAAATAAAAATGAAAAAAAAATCGTGACACTTTAGAGTCGCTATTTTATTGACTTTGTATGCATCTGAAAGATTAATTTTTAATTTGAAACCAATCGTACTTTACAAATATAATAATACTTTAGAATAAGCTTTTATTTATTTATTTGATACTATATACAAACTATTTGTTTATTTTTACATTATACTTTTAATACATATTATAAATAATACACAATTAACGAATCAGTTGAATCATTGTATATGTTACAGGCACAATAGGATACTCCGACATTGTGCATGACTAAATGTTTAGTAGGCATACTATATATATAACTACCAAATACAAAATAAAAAACAAAACATATAGTAAAATAAACAATATAATTATTAATCATTATCTTTCACTTATGTATTACGAATAAATTCTTATAAATATATAGAAATTGTATTTTAATTTTTTTTTATATATAATAATAAAAAATACTTAAATAATTGCTATATTTATTCAAGAGGATTATTACTGTAGCACTAAATATTACCCAATTTACGTGTAGATTTGCATTCAAATTTTCTGGTTTTGTACTTCTGTGTCCCACCATATAATATATGGTGGGACACAGAAGTGTATATTATATCATCTGAGTTCGAATTGCGTCCAATTACCTTACTATGTTGTGAGATTTTCTTCGGTCAAAATAAAAGTATATTTTCTTAACTTAAATTATATACGACGTATATTTGAATAAGCTTTCCTTTCTTGGTCTTTAATAAAAATAATTTACCGACAAGTCGTCAAAAAGTTTTATAAGCGTTAGGAAATGAAATTTGGACGTAATCGATTATTTCAACGAATTTACAACAATCGATATTAGTCATTTAATTGTTACTCTATAAATCATACCATATTTTATTGAAAACTAACTACTAAAATACTACAACTAAAATATAAGCGTTTTAAAGACATTTCATAGTTTCCAAATATTTTAATGACATTTGTGAAGTTAGATGTAGTATTTACATTGCTCAAGAGCATATCGGATGATTAAAATGATATGCTAACTGATTACTCGAAATGGATTGCCATTGTATTACGATCACAAGTCTACACGAGAAAAACATTTTTATGATTGGCATTGTCCAAATATTCCGTACGTTATTTATAATGCCCGGGCAGTGTTCAAATCGACCAAGTTTTCCATTTTGATCGTAGCATATAAATTATAATGTATTACGTACCTTGCGAATAATAGAGTGTGTCAGTTATTAATTACAAACGCTTTTTAAGGATTATAATACTATACATGCATATGCGCTTGTGTTTGCACATTTCAAACATAAACATAACTTATAAAACGAGTTGTATGTAGGTACTTAATGTATAGTAAACAGCTGGAATGCACAATAAAGGACAAATCTGTCGGATTTTGGGGCGAACAAAGTAGCTTAATAATTTACCAGAGACAGTACGTAGCTATAAATACGCCATGATCATATACGTATACTATATCACGGGTAGGTAATGAATGTTTATAATAATTACGATATCTACATGTATAGTATACTGTTACTTGTACGGTAATAAATCAAATGTGTAATATTGTAAAAGCATAATTAAAATTATTAAAAAATTAAATTATAATGCAGAAAAATATTATAATGGTGATTTTGGTGTACCGTCAATTGATCGCAAGCCAATTTACCGCACGACAATTGATCGCAGGAGAGCATTAACAGATTCAAAATCGAACAATATGTTGGGAGCAACGAGCCCCTTCAAAAAAAAAAAAAAAAATTATCGAGATAGAGCAGCTAAAATAAAAAAATATGTACCAATTATAAAAATAATACAAATATTGAAGATTTTCTTCATGGCATTGCATACAATTTTCAATTGCAATTTTAATTTTTAGCGTTTTTCATTATTTTATACCTACCTTGATGATTCATTATAATATTTTTTTATATTCAATTAAATTTACCAATATTATCGATTTATATGAAAAATATTGCATATTATAGTTTTATTTGTTTCATTTTATATACCTAACAACATTTTTTAAACATTTTTTATCCAAGACGAAAAAATATATATTTAACCGTAAATGTAACCAAAGTTGTGCCAAATTTATTCAAATTAAATATGTATTAAAATTAAAAATTATTCCTGAAAATGTTATTTTTCGATCAATTGCCTTGCGTTAAATTTTAATTGCAATAAATTGTTTACGACCAATTGACGTGTATCCGGTAATGTTGGGTCAAGAGATTATCATTGCTGTAAATGCTCAGCTCAGACTCAGGTGTGTTAATAAAGTGACGGGAAGAATACTTATATCAATAATACTCGATAAGTAATTTATGAAAATAATCACTAATTACTTATTTACATTGTATTATTTCATGTAATGGTCATTCAACAATAATTTATATGTAACAGACCACGTCAAGGTGACATGAAAATAAAATCTGGTAATAAACTAAATGCAACACAAGTCTTAGGAGATATAAGACCTACGGTAAATAATTTATTTTTTTATCCAGATCGATTAAATACATACATTACATTACATTCGTTGAAATACAGACATTTTTAATTTATAATTCATAAAGATCGTGGATGAAATATATTTAATCATTGCCATACTAATTAATTATCAATAATAGCACTCGTTTTCGGACAGCCATGTAAAATGAATAGGGTAAGTACAGCAACATTTCCCAAACTCTTGTTTAGGCTGGCCCGTTAATTAATATTTTTCCCCTTTGTGACCCACCAAAATTGTTTACATTTATCATTGTGTAAAAAAAGGCAAAATGATGAATAACAAATTTAATATGAGAATTTTATTAAATTCTGCGATCCGGTTTTATAATATCGTGGCCCGGTAGTGGATCGCGACCAACTGGGAAACCGACATAATTGGGAAACGCTGAGATACAGCAATTTAACCAACAGTGTTTCAGCCAAAAATATTTAATCCGAAAAATATTATTGCCGGCAGTATGTTAACTGACAAATATTACCCACAGTATTTTAGCCGAATAAAATACAACCGATAATATTGTAACTGACAGATATTACAAAAGATAATATTTCAGCCGAAAAATAATACAATAATAATCTTGGTCGTCATATTATTTTCTCCGTGTTTATCTCCAAGTTAAAAACCAGTTTGTCAAATATGTTCTTATCAAATACTTGTCGGCTAAAGCACGGTCGGTTAAAATATTGTAGGTTATTATATTTGACTGGTAAATTATTTTTCTATTAAAATAATTTTTGGCTATATTACGTTTGGACTGTTTTATTTTCGACTATTTTACGCGCACTCAAATAAGTAAGTTTCCGTTTGGCTGTTCTATATCACAATCGTTTAAAACGTGATAAGTACTATCAATTAATGCCGATTATCATATTCTTGTTCTAATTTAACTTTGGAGTGAAAATAATACCTATTTTCTTTTTTATGCGAAAAGTATAAATTGTTATATTAGTTATAATTCGTAATTGTTTTTTTTTTTTTAATAATGGGTAGAAATGAAATTCCGAAAAGTAAAAGCAAACATAAGAAAAAATTTAAAAAAATTAACAAACATCAAAGGTTAGATCCTATATTTTTAAAAACATTACCTTACGAAATACAAAATGATCATTCATTATTGAAGTATTGGAATAATAGATTTAGGTTATTCAAAAAATTTAATCAAGGAATTAAATTAGATAAAGGTAAAACAATATGTATCATAGTATTCATTAAACTTATGTTTATCTATCTAGTTATAATTATTGATATATTATACATTGCCAGCTATAAACTTTATCAGTATTTTAACTTATAAAAATATTAGAAAAATAATGTATATACCTCATACAAAGTCAGTGTTTTCTTTATGCAGTCTCATATTTAGTAGAGAAAAATGTTAATTAAACTTTTGTTCTGTAGAAAGTTGGTACTCAGTAACACCTGAAAAAATTAGTCGAATGATTGCTGAACGGTGTACATGTGATTTGATAGTTGATGCTTTTTGTGGTGCAGGAAGTAATGCCATTCAATTTGCATTTACTAGTAAAAAAGGTTACCTAGTTTTAAATGTACATTAAACATTAATACACATTTTAAACATTCATTAAAATTATACAATTTATTATTAGTTTTTAAGATTTATTTGATATTTTCATAAATTAAAATTATTACAATTTTTCAGTTATTGCAATAGATATTGATCCATTGAAAATAGAACTTGCACGTAATAATGCTGAAGTTTATGGTGTCTCAGATCGTATAGAATTTATTATTGGAGATTATTATGCTTTGGTTCCAACTTTGAAAGCAGATGTTATCTTTTTATCACCACCATGGGGAGGTCCTTCATATTCGTCAAAAAAAAATTTTAGCATTGATGATATTATGTCAAATTATGGGGGCGGTAAATACTTGTATGAATTAACTCGTCAAGTAACTGAGAACATTGCTTACTTTCTACCAAAGAATATTGATGAAAAGCAAGTATGTTTCATTTATATTGTTTATTATAGATTCTATTTTATTTTTACACGTCATTGTTCATAGAACATTCTTTATATATTTTTAAAGTATCCTTATAACTATTAAATTATAATGTATGTATTAATTGCATGCATTTTGCATTTTTGTTATCTTTTAGTGCATCTCATTAGCTGGGGAAGGTAATTTAGCAGAAATAGAAAGTAATTTTTTTAACAATAGACTAAATTCAAAAACATTCTACTATGGAAACTTAGTTAAAATTAATAGTTAGTAATAAGGTAATTTTGTAACAATAATACTGGTTTTTTCTTTTGTATAATATGTATTTAAATAATATAACAATAATAATTACAAGTCACAATATTATTGATTAGATATGAGTAACAATTTAAACTATTGTAATAAAACCAATAACATGATATGTATGCGTTACTTAAGCTGTGTTACTTTTAAATTTATAAATAATAATTTATTTTAAGCTTATTAAATAGGTAACAATATAAATAGCGCTAAAAAAAAAAATTGTGCTTCAATTCGTTTTAATACTTGTTACGTTATGATTTTTTTTTTTTGTTTTTTTAGAAATATTTGTAGTTTGTACATAAATATAATTATATTATTAACTTAATATTATATATTTAACATTCTATAAAATATATATTTGTCATCAGTTCCATAATGTAAAATCATTACTGAATAGGACTTAAAATTACTTATAAATATAGTAACTAGTACTTCAGTAATGAAATTTTACATTTGAGGTATTCAAACAAACATTTATAATGGTAACATTAACTACACTATCATTTAGATAAAATTATATTATTATGTTGATATAATTCTCTATCAAAAAAAAAAAAAAAAAAAAGCAGATTCCCATAATAGTATTATTTGTCTTATAACTATAATTTAAACATAATATAAACTTAACAACTGGCAACATTAGTTTTTTATGTTAACTTATTAGCGACTAGTAACTTACAATACAGATTACATCAATTTTTATGATGAACTTATTTTATTCAATAAAGAGATCTTTTTTGTTATCCATCATTTATCTTTTCAGAACTTTTTAAATTAAATTTTATTCATTTTTTTTTAATAATTAAATAACTAAAATATTTTTTGTAAAATTAAATGTATTAGTACCAATATTTTTATACAAAATAAGTTATTTAGAGGAGAGCAAAAGTAAAGTTCAGATTTTTTTCTACTTATCACCTCTATTATAGATTAATATCTTGTTGAGTCAACAATTTTCTTAGAATTAACATAGTGTTTGAAATTAAATTTCAATACAGGTTTGAACATATTCATAAGTCTTTAAATATTATTAACCAAGAATAATGGAAGTATACAAATTAATCAATATATTAATTAATAAGTATACCAGAATACTTGTCCTAAAAATTCACAATTAAAAATAAAAATGTTCTGTAAAAAGTAATTGATAGAAAACAGAAATAATCCCTTGTAAGTATATAGTAGTTACACTATGCCATGAGCATCTAAATATTTTACCTTAGTCAAATTGTTAAAGATAATTTATTAATTACATACTACTTGGACTTAAACAAAAAATTCATAGTTATGATATGTAAGTCGTTTGCACCAAACCGTACATAAAAAAAAAAAAATACATTTTTGGTTATCATTTATGTTTTCTCTGGTCTGTTATTAAATAATTCTTCAACTATGTGCTCGTCAGCTAGTGTTGAGATATCTCCTACATCTCTGTCATTGACAGCTACTTTTCGTAAAACTCTTCTCATTATTTTTCCAGAACGGGTTTTTGGAAGACCTGGTGCATGTTGTATAACATCTGGCATTGCAAATGGTCCAATTGTTTCTCTTACTATAAAATAATTATTTCGTGGTTGAATTTTATAATTATTTATTTTATTAGATAGCCAACAAAATTTTAAATACTTCTAAAGTGAAACTTCTTTAAATTAAACATTCTGGTAAAATGTTTAAATTTCTACTGTTTGGAAAATAAAGTATACTAATATTAAGTTGCAAGAACTTATTAGTTTTATTGAAAATGTTTAATAAATTCATCATAAATACATGTTTGTGTATATTTCTTATGTAAAGTAACAAATAAATTTAATTATATGTAAACAATTTTTTTAATTTTTTTTTTTGTTAAATATAAATGAAAGTTATAAGCATGTATATTAGTAAGATCCATAATAACTTTAAATATACTGTCTTTGTTTGTTATTTTCTTTAAAATAAATAAAATTTAATATGATCTGAATATTTTTTACGATTTTCATAATTAGGTGGTCTAAAAATATGTGGAAAATTACCTTTTTTTACCAACTCAGATGAAAGTTTTGGTGTAAAAGGTATACCATTATTGGGAGTAACAAAACAATAAAGACATTCTCCTTTTATTGAATGTGGTCTTGATACAACTGCAGCTTCAGATACATCTGGATGTTCAGTTAAGACAGATTCCACCTCAGCAGTGCTCATAAGGTGCCCAGATACATTTAACATATCATCTACTCTTCCCGTCACCCACAAGTATCCATCTTCATCTCTTCTTGCACCTGTAATAATTAATAAATTATTTATTAACATAATAGTAAAATATTGTTTTAATTTACCATCGCCAGTGCAATAGTACCCTGGAAACTTGCTGAAGTAAACTGATTGATATCGTTCGTGATTACCGAACAATGTACGCATCATTCCAGGCCAAGGTTTATTAAACACTAAGTATCCTTCACCAACTCCTTTAATTTCTTTTCCACTCTCATCTAAAAGAATTGGATTGACACCAAAGAATGGAAACGTCTGTAAATGCAAATCAAATGTTACTTGTAATAGATATTTATTAATAGTAACTTTTTAAAGTAAGACACTTACTGCTGATCCGGGTTTCATTGGTGTACAGCCTGGAAGTGGAGTAATCACGTGGCCTCCAGTTTCTGTTTGCCAAAATGTATCAGCTATAGAACACCTTTCTTTACCAATATGTTTGTAATACCACAACCAAGCTTCTGGGTTAATTGGTTCGCCAACTGAACCCAATACTTTTAATGTATCAAGGTTATACCTATAGAAAATGAGTGAAATACAAATTAATTAGAATTTCAATGTTATTTCTCAAGCATATATATTATAAGAATTTGAATATTTTTTAAGTTATCAAAAATATAACTAAATTCATAAGAAATGTATTTTTAAAAATATTTTATATATTTATTCAAAATTTGAAAATATTTAGTTGTTTTAATATATTTATAAACCATTTCGTGATTATATTACAAAATTTACAAATCAATTCCCAATTTTATTAATTTTTTTTTCAAAAGTAAAATTGAGATTATTTTAATGAATAGTTAATGAAAAAGTATCAAATAACAATTATTCAAAAAAATATTAGTTTCTCATTAAAAATAAAATATTGAATGAAACTTTCAGCTATTATGTTATGAATATTTCATTTTACATAAAATCATTTGAAATAAAATCTTTTATTTAAAGAAAAATAATCTATCGTGTTTAAGTTGCTTCTTAATGTCTTAAGGCATTTTATAAAATGCATATTTAATACTCAAATGGGACATAATAAAGTTTTAAAAATAATTTTACTTTTTCACAGGTTCTTCTCCAAATTTCATAAGAGCACGGATTGCTGTTGGAGCTGTATAAAATTGTGAAACCTTGTACTTTTCAATTATTGACCAATATCTTCCGTTGTCAGGATAAAATGGCGTTCCTTCAAACTAAAGTTAATAGTGGTTAACAGTAACACTATTACTTGTGTCAATGTATAATATAAGTCTACTTATGGATTGTCAGACCTCTCATATTATATATGAATGTCTATTTTTAAACATTATCTCAAAAACTAACAAACTTAAAAATAATAAAATATCCTATTTTTTTAAACATGTAAGGTTATAAAGTTGAAAATACTAGGTATCATATATAGTCTACACTACTTAATTTCCCACAATTTACATAAATGGATGGTAAATTCTCAAGTTACATTGACGAATAATTATTTTCAATACATATAAAATATATATTTACTCTGCAGTTTTTATATCTTAAAATAAATCCATGTTCAAGTAAATACTTCACCAAGGACTAGGAACCTCTCCCTACGTACTTTATCTCCTTCATAGATATAGGTGGTACTATTGGAGGGGCAAGGTAGGCGGCTGTTCCCCCCTGCGAGTTCTTACTCTCCCTATACATTTCAAATATTGGTTGGTAATCCCTCATATTACATGCTTATTTAGAGTCTGCATGGTTGTAAGTAATAATATTATTATCTATAACCGTAGGAGCCATTCTTGTAAATATGCTGATAAGATTTTTACGTCAACATTTTCAATATTATTATAATTTATTTTTATCATTGACAAATCATGAACCAATATTATTACTTTATTATTACCTATCTGTATCACAAATGTTTTGTATGATTTTATACTTTGATTTGAAGTGTGTATTTTATTTAGTATTCTTGAGTTTTTTGGGAAGGTAATATTAATTATAATAAAAATTATGAACATAAACCAAAGTAAAAAAATAAAAACTTTATACGACTTTTTCATACAAGAACCATCATAGGCGGATCTACGAGGTGTGCCGGGTGTGCCTTGGCACACCCTAATGTGAATAATGCAAATAAAAAAATTGAATAATTACAATTGAGAATATATGTGCGTAAACATTAATTAAATTTTAGTTTTTTGTAAGTAACATTGCAAGTGTTCAGAATAAGTCTGAAATAATAATTACGTGTATATTTTACCAATCATTATTTTACATCATTAACGAAGCCTTTATTTTTAGAATTAAAATCATAACACGGTCTACACATACGTATTTATAGCCTCCCCATTATATTTTGAAAAAATAACCAAAAAATGACAGGGCACACTCAAATGTATCACTCTGAGTCCGCCTGTAAGAACCATCAAAGGTAAATTGTGTTAAGTTATTATTTTAAAATTGTATAAGATAAAATGATATAAATGTAGGTATTTGTAAGGGTATTATTCATTTTACAAAATAATCTTATTTGAAATAAATTAAAATAGTTATCAATAAAATACTTAAATTATAGTATTGGTAGTTTAAAGATTTAGACAAAATAGTGTTAATATTTTGCTTAAAGTATTTCCTGCCCTTCCTGCCAAGAGGGTCTAGTACCGCCTATGTTCATAGGTATATAATTACATATATACATATATCATGATATTAAGGAACGAGAAACTAATTTTTTGCTTAACTGCTATTTGTTATTGTAATAAAACAACTTACAATAACTGAAGACGCTCCATTAGCTAAAGGTCCATAAACGACATATGAGTGTCCAGTGATCCAGCCAATGTCTGCAGTGCACCAATATACGTCCCCTGGATGATAATCAAAAACATACTTGAAGGTAGTAGCAGCATAAATTAAATATCCGCCAGTAGTATGAAGAACTCCTTTCGGTTTCCCCGTAGAACCACTATGAATCAAAATATAGACTATATACTAATATAAAAATATTAAATTAACAATGAAATACTTGTTAAGTTATAGTTCAACCTAAACAGTAGAATAATTTCAAATACTAATGAGTAATGTGAAAATAATTATTCAAATAATTATATTTTTAAAATGTAATGATCAAATAATAAAGTAAGTACAAATAAGACGTAATAAGTATTAACAGGTATTTGTTAAAAATTAAATTTAATACAAACTTATTTTTATCTCACGAACCTTGTGTATAACATGAATAATGGATCTTCTGCTGACACCCAGACTGGATAACAAGCTGGTTCTACGTCATCCATCTCGTCATGCCACCAACAATCTCGTCCATCAGTCCAAGGTACCTTAAACAAAATCCATGTAATATTTTTACATTATATCTAATTTTCTTTAGTAAGCCAACGAAAATATACATCTGAATGTAGATCTATTGTATCAGAATCAGACCCATTTGTGCCATTAGTCGTGTTCATAGATCTGTAAAGCCTTGGTAAATGACGAACTACTATACAAGTAGGTATCTCGTGACCGAAATTTTTGGCTTTATCCATTGCTAAAAAAAAAAAATTGATAGTATTACATTGTTATTATACTTTTTATTAATACGTATTTTAATATATTACCAATATCACACAGACTTTTAATGTTCAACAATTTGTCTCCTCTGTATACACTGTCAGCTGTCACGAGGACTTTACATTTGCAATCAGCCATACGTTCTGCCAATGAATCGGATGAAAATCCTGCGAACTATAATAGGTAGGTACTCATATTATTAAAATATATAAGGTAAATGCCATATACTTCATTCGAATCATTATTTTAAAATTATTGAATAAGATAAGTTTATAACGTACTATATATGTATATAAATAAATGTGACGGACAAAAGTTGAAATTAGGCAAATCTCAGAAATTCTCGGGCAACACTCAAATTGTCCTCATCCTTATATATTTCCTATATAATTATAGTTTGGCTTTTTCCCTGGTATATCTAGTTGTAACCAACCTCATTTGGAAAAAAAACCGTATAATTAATATAATTTAATACGCTTAAATAATAATAAAAATATAATGATATAAGATCCTGGTATAACATTAATTTAAAGAATTAAAAAAAATGAGTAGACACATTTCATTATAAGGATATGATAAAATATATTTTTGTTTACATTTGCATTTTCCGGTAATATATTTTGTCTTGCAAGAACAACAAATAAATCCTTGTCCTCCAGTTAATAAATTTTGAGTACTCCCAGTCCTCAATGATATTTCGATATTCGGTACATCATTGCTAGTAATTAATTGTTCCTCACACTGAAATATCTGGTTTCCGGCATAAAATAATGACAAAATTCCATTTTTTAGTTTCTATTTTATAGAATCCACCGTCAGTAATACTTAATATAATACTTAACAAATTATTTGTATAAACATTTCCTCTATCAATACAAGACACTGTAATTTTCACTGTAATCTCGACTGTTAGAGATGGAAATTTATTTTCATTTATTGATTCCATTTTTTTCGTTTGTGACCCTAATCAGTAGCGCCACACATCAGTAGCTTTTTCATATGTTTTTTTATAAATTGTTGTTTTTGTTCAGATTTACATTTCGACTTTTGCCCGTAACATTTATATAATGCAAAATAAAAATATATTATCATATATGTATTTGAGGGAAGTAGTATACTAAAGTCTTAAAAATAATGAAAGTTTAGAATTCTGAAAAATGTTGAGTTTAAGAATTTTCTGTAGCTGTATTAAAATAAAAAAATTAAAAATATTTTACACATAGTTATATATGTTCTAGAAAGAAAGTTTTATAAAATGTCTCAAAATAAATATTAAATAAGTTAAATATAATCATGAATAAATTAATAATGTTTCAATCAATGGATTTTTTTTTAAGCTCCCAGTTCAATAATTGATTGAACAGATTTTGAGACTTTTGAGTTATAAATTTGACTTGTATATTTGTACTCGTACTTCTATGAAACACATTTTTTTAGATTATTTATAAATTTTTATTTTTTCTACTTTGATAATTTATAATTTATACGTAAATATTCTAAAAACAGTTAGCCAACTAACTCAATTATGAACTGGATGACTCAATAAAAAATTAATAAGTTGGTGATTCGATAGATAGAGTCATTATAATTTCATTTAAAAAGTATCGCTTTTTATTCTGAGAGAACTGTTGAAAAATGTAATACTAATCAAAAATCAAAAAGCACAAGACAACTAATTCAGTTTGTTTAACATTCAGAATTTCATTTATCAAATCTTAAATGAATCAATTTTTAGTACACTGTTGTAAGAAAATGTTATTTTAAAGTTAATTCAAAATTAATTTAGTACAAATTATAATGATAATCCAAACACATAAAAAAACTAAAAAAAAAGTTTTGTAGTCTTTTTAGAAACTATAGTTATAGTGTTTGCAACTTACAACAATAGAGTGTACTGCACCGATTCTTGCACATGCTAACATAGTAATCACTATTTCTAAAGTCATTGGCATATAAATAGCAACACGATCGCCCTTTACTATGCCTTTGGATTTCAATACGTTTGCAAACCTGCATACTTCTTCTAAAAGCTTTTTGTATGTGATTTTACTATAGTCTTCTGGATCATTGCCTTCCCTATAAATAAAATTAAGATTAGTTGATTAATGTAATAAATATAGGTACTATCGATCTAAGCTCTATATAATAAATCTTAAATATAAAAATAAGTAGTATTTATTATACTTATTTATTAAATACCATTATTTATAAAGAAGAAAGTATGTAAACATATTCCGGTGTGGTATATGAGCAGGCCTGTATTTAAAAATTTGGCACACCCCCGCATATAATTTATGCCCCCTCCAAAAAAAAAAAAAAATAATAATAATAATATAACACTTATTATTTTGTCCATAATCGACATTCTTTAGTATTAAAATATAACTTATAAATGAAAATCGTTTAATACTTTTTTTAACTAACAAATTAAACAAATTATAGCATAATAAAATATACTATTTTATTTTATTTATTGTTTTATTTTTTTTTCATTAGGTACATCATTTTAAAAATTAAAATTTGCTAAAATATTTTGCCGCCCCTAAAACTTGACGCCCCCCGGGCATGTGCTTACCCATGCCCCTCCCCTAAATACGGGCCTGAATATGAGAATAACAACAAGAATAACAGCAAGTTGCTGCTTTTTGTTTACTTGTTTCTGTTTACAATATAATTTAGATTTTATGGCTTAATATATAATAATGCTTTACTTATTAATTTTAACCTTCTTAGTATTAAATATTTCAAAGAACATAAGTTTAGTATTGAAACCAATTATTTAGATATGATGGTTAGGTCATCCTCAAATAAGTATAGTAAATTAATGCGCTTATATAATTTCTGATGATAAAATTAAATATTTATTCTAATTTTTTTCATACATAAAATCTCATATACAATCGAAAACATTTTCATAAAAATAAAGTTGATTCATATTGTTTATTTTCAGTAGTTTTGGTTAATTTTTAAAATATTAAATACTTACAAATAATTATAAAATGGCAGTATTTGATAAATAAACAAAATAAGTAAGTAATTATATATAAATAACTAATTTTGTTTTATAAAATTCTAATTGTTTAATAAAAACAGTTATTTTTTATGTAACAAAAAATTGATAACATTTGTTTTTAAAATGATCTGAACTATATATTAATAAAAATTATTAACTTATGAACTAGAGAACTGGGACCAGAATACTTCCACGTTGTGAAAAACAAGTACATATATTGCCACATTGATTATATAAATGACAACACACAAACTCATAAAGATTTTAGAGGTGATTTTTTATTAGAATTTTGCATCGCGAGTTAACTTGATATTATTTTATACTATTCTATAGTAGTTACATATATATCATGTGCTATTTTGTGAATTAAATTTTTCTACAAATCATGAAATAAATATGAATGTCTATGCTACGATTACCTACTTAATTGGTTTACTATAACTAAACATGTACATCTAATCAACCAAATAAAAATATAATCATAAGCTAAACAAATTAAATGAAAAATATAAAAATATATAGGTTATACATAAAAAAACTACTCGAATAAACTGTAATTATCTTTATACATATAATAGGTATTATATAAATGAGAGATAGGTAAAGCTAAATATTTTTTCAGCTTTACTGATCATTAAATTAATATGTATATTAGGGTGGCTCTTATCTTACTCTTGTAAATATTTTTTTAATTGTACAGTTTATGGCATTCACCCATTTTTTGTTAATGCCCAAAAAAATAATACCTGTAAAATTTGAAATCAATCATTCAATTTTAAGTCGTGCCCCCGGGCACTTGAAGTTAAGTAGTTTTGTCATTGTTCATTGTATATATTTGTACAAAAAACATCATTGAACGATTGAATTGTTGTTCCTAAATCCTTAATCTAAATAATGAATAGATTATGCTAAAAATTTAAGTTTCTAATACAAAAATAGAAAAATGAAATATTTACCTCTTATAATTTAGACATTCCAGATAAAAAATTAAATGCCTTAATTGACATAGAATAAAAATACTGGTAAGGTACGAATTCTAATTTTCTGAGTGTAAATAAATTGCTTTATTGATTTAATTTATCTGTATGGATTTAAAAGAAATAATATAACATGACATTTCAAAAATTTGAAGCGATACTAAGCAAATGTTATTTTTAATAAAATAACTAAATTATATATTTTAGCATTTTACAATTGTATCTAAAATGTTTAAAAACAAAAAAAAAGTAAATAATATTTATTATATGAATGTTCGATAAATATGTATAAATATTAACTAATTATATCCATACACGCTATGAAATTTTTAAAATTAATATAAATTATTATTCGTTATTATTCATCATATTATTAACATTTTATTGTCAGACATACGAGTTAAAATTAATTTAGAATTATTACGAAAGCTGTAGATGTCTTGACTAACTAACCTACCTCTCTTCTTTCGTTGGTCAATTTTAAAGTCCTTTCTCATACATCTAAACTTTATACTCCTTACATAGTTCCTGCACGCACTACTAATTACAGCAGAAATAATCCCTTTGATCGTATGATGCAATTGAATAATGATAGTACATCTTAATAAAAATGACGAAATTAAGGGTTTTTATTTCTATTCTCTTTTATTACAGTTATATTATATACTATGTATTAAATTTATATTAAATATTGAAACTTAAATAGATAAATTATTGTATAGGACACCACCCTTTAATAAAGATAAAAAATTATTATTATCACATTATTATACAATAAAATGTGTTAATGTGTTATAACTGAACAACTACATTTTAATGTATTTTGCTTTTTTTAAATGGCTAAATTTACTTTAAAATTCTATAATTTAAACAAAATATTTTTTTTTTAATTCATAATAAATTAAAGACAGTATAATTATTAATTTATATTTATATTTAAAACATACTTGTATTTTCATTCATATCGGAATGGAATATTACTATACACTTAATCATACGCGTGCGCAGATTCCTATTTCCGATGTAGCTTTTATTTTTTTTTTTTTGATCACCCACCCCCTTATAAAACCCCGCCTTAAAAAAATAGATCTACAAAACATAGGACATAAAATTTATTAGAAAAACTGATGTACAATCTAATTATCAATGAACGCCAGTCCCGGCAATTTTTATTTTTTTGTAATTTGATAAAATGAATAAAAAAAACTTTCGATTTTCCAAAAAAAAAGAGTTATTAGCCCTTTTTACCTAAGTACTTAGTACTTACCTAAAAAAAAGTATCAGGTGTGGCCTATAAGTCACATCCGAGCGCACGCCTATGCACTTAATATTAAAACAAAACAGATTAATAATCTTCTTGTTACAAAATCCAAAATAATATTTATATTATTTTCATGATTTTTCTAATGTTATTATATATTCTCAATTTAAAAATTTTATGCATAAATGTATTTTCGTTAAGTTCTATGTCTTAAAACTATACAAAACATAAATAGCAATAATTTAAATTATACATTTATTTCATCAGAATTTATTTCAATTTTTTTGTTTTTATTAGATTCGTTATCGCGTTTGAGCTTTATATTTTTGTAATAAATAATTTCTCTATCCATAAGTTAATCTTTAAAAGATTTGAAAACTACCAATAAAAAGGGCAACACTGCTAGATGAGGTCAGTTATGCGAATGGGTTAATAACTGCTTTATTAATCTTTTAAACTTGAAATAATTATACCATAAAAAAAATAATCTTAAGTGAAAAATATTGGGTAAATTAATTTATTTTTCTGAATATGTTTGATAGCGGACTTTATGATTTTTTTTCTAGTTTTGTCAAACTTTATTATTCAAACGATCATAATTTTGTAAATTTTGTAAATAAATAAATATGCCTATTATGTAATGAGTAATAAAGCTATCAAAATTTTACATTTTTTCAACCTCTCCCCTAAAATTCATTTCTATCCCTGGTTTATAGTATTTATTAGGAAAATTATTGAAAATATTGTTAATTTATCCCTCCTATTTCATAGTACCAACACAATATTCCCTTAAAGAAACCTCCAATTATTGCGATAATTGGAGCAATACTTTGTAGTCGAAATAATATAAACAAATATATAAATTAATTAAATAAAATAATAAAAACAAAAAAATCATGGTAAAAGCAATGGTTTCCTTTTTTCACTCTGAATCTATAACTAAACTTTAACAAAATAAATATCATTAATATCCTTTCAAATTTATATGGTATTTAATGGATTAGAATCCTTTACTTTTTTCTATCCATGCTATAATATCCTACTAGTTCACTATGTTATTCACTTTTTCTTTTCTAATTGTTTAATAAATTTGTATTTTACGCCTAATAAATATCGAGTTAAGTATTTTTTTCGTCTCCTCGAATATAAAAACTCCCAATAGATAAATTAATATTTAATATATTTGATAACCATGTGAATAACATGATTTAACATTTACAACAGATTTAAAAATTATTTCATTCATAACTGAAAGTGATTGGTTTTTTATTTTATTTTCTCTTTATTATATACTCATGATTATTTTATTCAATATATCTGTACATTATACAAATACTAGTTTACATTACGTTTTAAAGGTGAAGGTTATTAGGTCAACATTTTAATAAAATGTAGAGCTCAGATTTAAAAGAGCGCTCGCATAATACATTTGTTTAAAGGTTTAATATATATTTAATATTAAGTTTTCCTTTAATTTATATTACAGTTTACATTAATTTACTTACGTAAATAAACTCTAACCTTTAGTTTTTAGAAAATATTAAGCTATAAAATTACGAATGATACTTAAACTTCATCTAAATTGATATCTATATTTATTAACTGTCAATTTATTGTCAGGTGTAAATAAATAATTAATAATCAAATAATTTATCCCTAATCATATTAGTAAGAAATTGTTACTACGTATTTAGAATACATTTTAATTAGTTATGTTTTGTTTATTGTGTCATAAAATTATCATTGTACCTACATAAAATCGTCATACTATAAAGAATATTCGTCATAGGTAATACGAAACGGTAAAAAGAGTTTAAAGATTTAA